AAGACTCATCGACATCAGCCGTATGGACATCTAGTCTCTTTACCAGTACCCACACTCCCGTGGACAGATATCTCTATGGATATGGTGGGACCCCTACCAAAATCGACCGAGTTCGACGCGATACTAGTGATAGTTGATCGACTAACCAAGATGGCTAAATTTATTCCATGTACAACTGGACTAACAGCGAACAAAGTGGCCGACATCTACATCAAGGAGATCTTTTCAAAACATGGAGTACCTCGAACAATTGTATCAGATAGGGGAACTCAGTTTACAGCGGAAATTTGGAAGGAAATATGTCAGTTCTTAGGAATAAAGAACTTATATTCGACTGCGTATCACCCTCAAACAGATGGACAAACTGAGCGAGTAAATCAACAGATGGAAATCCTGCTCGGAATGTATGTAAACTACAACATGGACAATTGGGATCAACTTCTACCAATTGCTGAGTTCGCTTATAACTGTTCGCCACATAGTAGCCACGGTCTGTGTCCCTTTGAAGCCTGTTACGGCTATGTGCCACACTACGACATCCACTCGCACGATATTCGATCAAAGTCAAACAAGTTGGAGAGGAAATGGAGAGATTTGGGAGAATTACATGCGGCTGTTCAAGAACAGGTCAGGATGGATAATGAGATTAGTGCAGAATACTACAACAGGAGGCACAAGAGTATACCAGAAGAATTCAGAGAGGGAGAACAGGTACTACTGAGTACGAAGTATCTTACGACGGAAAGACCCAGTCGAAAATTAGAAGCAAAATATGTTGGCCCCTTCAAGATCATAAGGAAAGTGGGGAAAAATGCTTTCGAATTAGATCTACCTCCATCAATGAAAGTGCACAATGTCTTCAATGTCACGCTGTTGGAACCATATCCTAAGGACATGATACCAGGTCGACAGATACCACCCCCACCACCTGTGGTAATTAACGGCCAGGAAGAATTCCATGTGGAAGCAATTGTGGACAGCAGAATTCGACGAGGAAAAGAAGAATTCAAGGTAAAATGGTTAGGATACACAGGAAACACGGCCTATGACTGGGAACCACGAGAAAATGTAGAGGAGTTGGCCGTTTTTGGTGAATTTGTGGAAAAAAGGAAAAGGGACCCCAGAAGAAAGTGAGAATTCGATCAAGATCAACAAAACTGGGTTGGAAATGAATGCATACACAGGAAATATAGCTACAAATAGAGAGATATAATCACACTAGAAATTGGAGGTGGTGGAATTGGCTCGGGGACGACGGGCCGAAGCGGGAATACGAATGACATTGCGGGGAAGAGGAGTATGGGGAGAAGAGGATGGACCGGCGACTGGTTGAGAGGAACTCAATCCTGTAGGATCACCAGTAGAAGTAAGATGATCCAGAGTTTCATCGGCAGAAGGAGGAGCGTAGTTGGCGGAAATAAGATGAAGGGATTTGTAAAGAGCCAGATGTTGAGAAGGGAGAGGAAGGAGAAGGGAGGTAAAGAGATGGATGTAACCCGAAAGTTGGGTCAGACAGGCGGGTTGGTCATGGGCAGGAAGGGATCGATAACGGACCGAAGCCGCACAAAGTTCGTGCTCCAGGACAAAGGTAACCTTGGAAGTGACCGTTCTTGCTCCCACAACAATACCCTATACATCAACATCGACCAAGTTCGAAGGAAATAGACAGGTACCTCACGGAATTTGGACTCAGGGTTGTTGGTCTTCACCGAACATTTTGAAGTACCCTTAGCAGAGCATTCACCACACACACCACCGACTGAATTGCATCAACATTGAACGAGTCGCAGCAAGAACTTACGAGGGCCAATACAACCAACACGAAAGTCTTCACCACCATCGAGACGACGTTGACAATCGGTACAGAGCTCACCCTCTAGCCGAACAACAGCACCATTTTTGTTGCGGAGGCGCCAACCTTGGGCCAAACGATCGAGCTAATGATTAGAATCGATAAAACTTGAAAGAATTCGAGACTTACAGCGTTCTTAAACCACTTTACAGTGGGCTTGATGGCGTTGGTTTCGCGGAAACGGTCCAGAGCTTCGTTCTTCAACGCGAGACGAACAGAGGGGAAGGTCATGCTGGCCCAAAGGGTAGCTAACAAGTCAGAAGCGAACAGAACTCGGTGGAATTCTCACCGATTTCGGAGTCTTTTCGATCCTCGAGCAACTTAACCAGTTCCTGGTTGACGGTAACCTTGCGAGGGGCGTGAAAGATGTCACCAAGTTCTTCGGGAACCTCCACAAGTTCATCGGAAGCCTCAGAAGGAGGACCAGTGGGTTGCTTACCGGGAGAATTTTCATTTTCGACGACGGTAGGGTGTTCGGATTCGACGGATTTGGCGGGAGATAGGTTCTCACCAGTGGCAGATGGCCCAGCACCCCCTTCGAAGTCGAAATATTGCTCGATGACATGGTCATCAAGGAGCGATTGTGCTTCGCGAGAAGGACCGGATTGATACTTCTCCTTAATGGTGTCGAGAGCTCGTCGAGACGCATCAACCAATGGGGGTTGAGAGGAAGCGGCTTCAGACGTAATTCTCATTCTTTTTGTTTTGCGCATGAGGAGTTCGGGGTCGACGTCAGGCAGGATTGCCAAGGTAGAAGCTCGAGTTTGACGGGAGGAGGTGGAAGGAGACAACTAATCTCGTCAGCCAGTGAGAGATAGGAGGATATACATCGAATTCGAAGGGAATTGCTTACAGTACGCTTAGACATGCTCACAGACAGGTCAGAGTTGGAAGGATGCTCTAAGATATGAATAAGATATGGATGGATGATGATAGATAAGTAAAAAGAACGACAAACAAGAGGTAAAGAGAGAATGAGGAGGAAAGAAGAGAAAGAAGACGGGGAGGTAACTTGGTCAGTAATTTCTCGATCACATTGGAGGTCCGTGCGGGTGACGCGTTTTCATGGCAACCGTCACACTAGCGTGGGTATGATGTCAGGGCGCACCAAAGGTGTCTAAGAACAATCCATGTGCATCACCTGGTTACAGGGTTCAGGATCCTCGGCGAGGATCCTTGAGACAGGGGGGGAAACTTGTTACGGGGTAACAACGAATCGAGAGGACTCTATCGAGTTCGACGGATTAGGACAGAGGAAAGCGGGAGTTGGAGGCAGTGCTGCAGTAGGTAGGGACGGGTTTTCCCCTTTCGAGATTTCCCCACTGGGTTTGCTCAAAGCGGTTTTTCACCTGTCCGAGTATGTACGTACGTAGACGCTTGCAGCAGGAAGAGGACAAAGGGCGAGGATATCCGTAGACAGTATATAGTACAATCAGCAAAGTACCAACTTTGCTGATTCTTCAATATCATTCTTTGGCTACATCGATTGCAGAGGAGACACGATCCATTAGCACCAGAGCCCCTAGATTTCCACGAGACCTCCATCGAGTTCGACCCAACCTGCGACCTAGTCGTCGTGTTTCCAGTACCGTTACACAGGTCACCCTGGGGTAGCTAAAACCTTGGAGTTGGTCCTGAGGGATTATGTTTGGGTAGGCGTTTGTCAAGATGTTGAAGACTACGTTGGTGGCTGCGCTGTATGCCAGAGAGCTAAAACAAACAGACAAAAGCCGCATGGCGAACTTAAACCACTTCAGGTAGCACCCAGACCATGGTCCAGCATATCTATGGATTTCATCGAAGTTTTCATGTTTTCAAGATGTTTTCCCATTGTACGTTCATGTGTTTAAAGTTTTATGGGTACTCTTTAAGTTTTTCTCAATGATAAGTTGATCGTCCCGAATCCCACCACTATATTTCTGTATATTAATGATTTCCAAAGTAAGATATAAATTGCAGTTATTGGATCATACGAGTTTCACAGAAGAGGAGAAGAGGAAGAATGATCGTTTTGACATTTTTGAAGAAGGGATGATTGTTGACACTTTGAAAAGGAGGGGTTTTAAATCCCGAAATAATATCAAAAAACAACACCTCCTTACCTCACTACCTTGCTGATATACACCCAAAAAATCAAACCAAAACGAATAACTCACTGGTATAAACTGACGAAACGTTCTTTGGTCTTATCTAAAAAGACCGCTATATTAATGATCAATTTGATATACATGTTTTTTTTTTCACTCTACCTATGAGGGGTGTTATTGTCGTTGTCGTCGTTGTCGTCGTTGTCGTCGTTGTCGTCGTTGTCGTCGTTGTCGTCGTTGTCGTCGTTGTCGTTGTTGTTGTTGTTGTTGTTGTTGTCGTCGTCGCCGTTGTAGCACGAGAAGAATGGTAAGGAAGGAAGCGCAAGGTCAACAAACAAAAAACCTATGTATCATCCCTAACCAAACCGAATCCTCACCCAATCATCCCAAATAACATTCAAAAAGCAAAAAGCAGAAAACAGAAAGTAGAATGGCTAACTGTCCGTCCACATTTGCGTGGTCATCGCCATTAGGTATGACACAATGACGTATGATGATCTATTCGTCAGTGTGAAAGAAGTTTGTAGTTGATCAAAATGATTTACAAGTCGGATATAAAGTTAGAAACGAGCAATTCTCTTGATACCCTCGATGGTAGTAAGTTAAGGCATTTATCGTAAAACGTTGATGTGATGGCGGAAATCTCGGAATGGAAAAAAAAAATCAAAAAATCAAAAAATCCAAAAATCCAAAAATCCAACTTGAGGTCATTGGAGAATGGAGCAGATGGAGATTGATCAGCCCAAGAGATTGTCCAAGACTGGTACTCTAAGTGGGTTAGAGATGAGAATGAAATCGAGCCAGACAAACAGAATGAGAGATAAAGTTGGATAATGTCCATGGGATTGATAACGAGTCAGGGATCAGATTCAGATCAAACAAATTTTTTTTGCATAAACCAGAAGACGCACAAGATTAAACCTAAGTCCGAATGACGAGAATCGCAAGGTTGACAAACCTTTGATGGTTAAAATGGAATATTCGATCCAAAAAAAAGTATTTGATATTATTCTCAAACCTTTGTACTACATATTCAAACTTCCTTTGTCTGATTCCAAAACTCATTCATCCAAAACGTTGATATGACCTCTAAACCTTGATCCGTATTCGTCTTTCTGCGAGTTGACGGGGTAGATAGACATTTGGGGCACAGTTATTAGTTCGTTTCGTTTCGTTTGATTTTGACGTGACCATCCGACCCCTACCCCTCAATTGACAAAAAAACAATTGTCTCCGTTATCCCCACCCCACCCCATTCGGAAAACAAATCAGATGATCAAGGAAATCGGCGTCGTCCCAAACAAACCCTCGACCAACCGTCTCTCTCCCTCCTTATCATTCGTACTCAGACTCCCCCTACTGGCTTCCCAATCGCACCATACCAACTCGCGTCTGTCCGGATGTACCAACAGATGTCTGGCTCTGATATCTCCGTGGATGACGTCGGATTGATGGATAAGGTCGATGGCTTTCAGAGCTTGTGAACTGGGTTTGTCAGTTTCTGAAAATGTTTACTGGATAATTGATCATCAAACTTCAAGTCGTAGGCACAAACTGTAGAACAAACACTCTTTTGAAACTGTCATACTCGCACTTGATCAACAACACACTAGAACCGGGGGGAGGGGGAAGTGTGACCGATACATCTCAATTCTCCCATCCATAATCTTTTGACTTTGTTTTCTCCTCATGCATCTGTTCTTATCGTGAACAATCTCGAAAAGGTGAAAGATGACAATGCCCAGTGGTCCCATTCATCGTTGAACGACCACGACAAGGTGAAAGATGGATGTGTCCAGTGCTCTCTCTTCCATCGTGAAACGACCATGACATATCTCAAAGATGATCTGGGCGTCCAATGCTCCGACTCTTTGAGTGAGACAAGATGATCGAGTGGTACAAGTGACCCGTTTTCCTAGTGTTTTGAGCGGGAAGTTGAGAGCCCGAACGTGCGGGTGTGCGAGTATGTGGGTGTGTGGGAGCGTTTGATAAAACGTATCAAAAGCACAGTCAAATGAGATCACTTCGAAGCATAGCCTTATGGTCCGATGATGAGAAAGGGGGGCCGAGGGAAGACGATACGGACAGAAAAGAGAGGGGTGAGAATAACAATAGGGACAGAGAAGAGAGGTAACAGCGAGAGAGAGAACGCGAGAAC